ACTAAATACCCCGAAGGGTTCACTAAATATCCCAAGTTTTAAGCTTAGGTCTACTTACTCCACAACCACAAGCACATACACATGTCAAACAAGTTTAGAACATATCCAAAATAATATTAGAATATTATCCCATTTAATGTTCTCATTAATCAGTCGCATAAACAATTCAAGTTCATACTAATATCAATATACGCAACTCACATACTCCATTGAACTTCATATTGAAAGAAATTGAAGTACACTGCATGAATGGTAATTAGTGCGTGAATAGTATTCAAGAACAGTATTCATAAACAGTAATCATGAATAGTAATCATAAACAATAATCCTTAAACAGTACCACGTAAAGAATAACCCATGAAACAGTTCCAGCAAGATCCTTTAATCCATAAAATTCACACTAAATCAAACATAAAGAAAAGGAATAATTCACTGTTATTTCCTATATAAGCCCCAAAAATTGACATGTTCTTAACAAAATCTTAATACCCAAAGATCTATTAAACTAAAGCTTTGGGGTCAAATTTCACTAATTTAAACTAATTTTTAGTTTATTGAAATAGATCTATAATCTACCCAAAGAAACTCTACCTCAAATTTATAATCAAAACTCATACTTACCCAAAAACTTTAATCCTAAATTCATAACTTAAAACTTGTACTTACCTACGAAAATCCAAGCATAAAGTAGTAAAATTACAAGAAATTTTCAGTTGGAGAGTATAGATTTAGCACCACACCAAGCTGGAAGGAGAAAGCAAGGTGCAGATGGGAAAAAGGAAGGATACAGATCAGTGGTGGGGGTTTGAGAGCCTTCTAGAGGTTTATCCAATACCAGTCGAAAAATCCTTGCTTGGTGTAATGCCATGTGGAAAAAAATTAAAATAATTGAGTTAAGGCCATTCAACTCCTATTAAGTTCTACTTAAAACCTCCAAACTTTAAATCCAATCAATTTAATCCCTAAAAGTATAAACTAAAGGACTCTAATTTTTAATTTACTCACTAAGGTATATGGGGCGTTATAAAACCTCTATGAAATAGATTGGAAAACAAATCTTAATGCCTTTAAAAGTCTTCAAGAATCAAGTTCCAAGAAAATTTGTCACCTTGTTTTACTTAAATTTTTTGTACTTTGATTTTACCATATTCCAATATTAGTATTATGATGATCATATATATTACCCTTTCCAACATGCTTATGAATATGAAAAAGTCAATATCTACGACACTAAAGGAGATTAAAGATATAAATACAAGTTAAAATTATGTACTTAATTATACTATCAATATTCTTGTTTAGCAACTAAACCAAAATCAAATAATCAATCTTTCTAATTTTGCACCGTGTCATATTATAAGATCACAAATCAAGAAACAAAATTCAAAATCTATACTATTTCCAAAGCTAACCATTCTTCTAGACCTTATAATCACAGGGCTCACAATTGCCTCTAAAATTTTATTGGCTACACCTTGCAACAAAAATTGCAATGAAAACATGCCACTTACTTTTGAAAGAAAGGTGAGAAAAGGATTCACTAACGATCCTCTCCTTCCACTACATTTTTTTCC